TCATTTTCAGCACTGCCTCGTCCTATCAAGATTATCACGAATATGATGTAAAGTGTTTCTGAAGAACACAATTAGGATGGACACAGAACAATACATTTATTGTGAGTAAAATATATGCGCCATACAAAAACAACTACGTCTGCAAAGCTGAGACATGACATGTTTCACTTCAAATAATTCTTGGAGTGGTGTTTTATGAAGTACTGTCGCGTGTGCTATTGATATCGATAGATATAAGTAGTATTTATCATCAATCTTAAGTGGAATACTTGACTGAAGAACGTAAAAAGATCGAAGAAAAGAGAAGAAAAACATAGAATGATTGCTGTGGAATGAAGGAACGCTGAAATCATAGACAATTGATTGATATTTACAAAAACAACGGTCAACCGTGAGATAATTGATTGACATTTTGCAAATTTATTATTTACTGTATGATCTTCAGATATTACTAAGATGTTCTACAGTTTTGTGTTCAAATATATTCCAACAGATGAGTATGTGGAGATTTCATTACTTTGCGTATGGTCTTCTTCCTAGGTTGCTTTAAACAACGATACTGTTGACATTACGAAAGTCATCAACAAGTATTCCGTGATCGTGTAGGACATAGCACTAAACGGCTACGAATATGTCAGATGTTGCACTAGAGACTTCAAATTTCACATCAATACCTTTTTATTTAACCACTGATTAGTAATACAAGGTGTAATGACCATCAAATGTCAGTTGTGAATATTGTCTCAAACACGGTTATTATTAATGGGAGAAAGCCTGCCGATGGTAAATCAGAACCTAAACAGTTGTGGACGATTTTTTCACGTGTCACTGTGCTTACCGATCTATATATGTGTTCCAAGACGCACACATGTACCTATATGACATATGTGTAAGAGTATTCTCGATGTTACATCACATTTTAAATCAACATAATACATATAACCAAATTTCACTATGCTCGATTAGATCATCATCAGACTTTTCTTAATTATGTGACAGTGATTTCAAATGAATGAATGAATAAAGATCGCAAAACCACCCAAGATCATTTTAGTGGGTAATGATAACCGGCGTTGTTGTGTTAGCTGATCATCAGATATCTAGTGTTAAGTCGGTAGTTTACCCAGTATTCTGTATTTGGGTTTTAGATATTCAAAAACGTACTGAATTTAGCATATGAGACATGGAGGCGGATAAGTTGGGATGTCAGCGCTTGTCAGAATAAGGCCACAATAATCAAGTTCTCGATTGGATCAATTCGTATGTGTGTTCTGTGCAAGAGTGCTTAAATAACATCACGAACATAAACAGATCTTATCTAAATCGTAGCATGAAACATAATCATTGTGCTTATGAGTCAGTCCATCACTGATGAGTTACCATGAACAACTGTGAGATTTTTGACATAGTGGAATGGAGGTCCATTTTTCACTAAAGAAAAAACATTCGGTCAGTGATATAGAGGTTATCCAGTGTAGTATTCAAAAGGTAGCGGATAGAACTTCATCGTTATCGATGTCGAGATCATATTCCTAAGATGCGTCTTTCAGTAAATTCACGACCATTTTGTTTGTCTTGTCACCAAAATGCAATGCCTGATTCTCTTTATCTAGTCTTTGACAGTGTGAATCGTTTGACTTTGGCAGTACCGACTGTCGTTCACTGGAAAATCAAGCATTTATATTGCGTACGGTCAATATGACCTGAAACAGGCAACATACCAATACAAACGTCATAGGCATCGATTATGTAATTTGTTGAATATACAGATATATATATATATACATCGACAAAGCAAGTATATGTACGTAAGACGTAGTAAACATATGTTCACTCACGTCACTGATATTCAGGACAACAAATGGTCAGTCTCTGTTGCCATCAACGCATTCCATATGGATCGCCATGATAGAGAGCTTCGTTACAAGTGTTAGGTGAGACTGATCATCCACAGTTATCAATATCAACAGTGGTGGATAACAAACCACTTACTAATTACCTCATACTCGTTAACAAGTTAATCTCCAAAACATTGGAGTTTTGTGACAACTCTCTATAACTACGCAATAACATAAACAATACTGACCTACCTTTTGTAAATTAAGTTAATAGTCGAATGTTGGAGATTTCGATAATCTTTATTTAACGTAATAGACGTATTCATTAGAAAAACACAAACCTGACGATTCGACAACTATTTGGAAACAAGTAACAGGTCAATCGATCTCTTAAATAGCTAACGAGTGCCCAATTTTCATCGTACTTTCAAAGTTCAATTCAGTGACTGATATGTGAGGTGTACTGCTGATTCGTGTGAGGAAACACAAACAAATCATAAGTTTGTGTGATTGGCAAATCCGTATCGTTCAGCTTGTGAATATGTCAAATTGGAATGAAGTCATTCTTGAATGAGACGATCACAATGAATTGAAATGATAATATAATAAACGATCTTTGCTTGTAAATTTGTCATCAACCACTGGAAAATCAACCACTTCTCAAAAATACCACTGATCATACCTTTGCATCCGGATATATACTCATCAGCTCTCTGTAGAACGCACATGCCGGAACACCGCTCAAAGCTACATAACCATCCAACATTTCACCCAAACCTCTGTGTGTCATTATTTCAGCCGGTGTCGTGTTGAGAGATTCGTCGAACAGTTTCTGCCACTTGCTAACATCACAATGCTTCGTGGTCACAATTTCAATCAAATGATCACATGGTGGAGAGCGAATTATTTCGAGTGCCGCTTCCAAACCCGTCGTTCCTGTTCTCGGTAAACCAGCTCTAATAAACAACAGTGATGTTGAATTTTGTGATATAATGTCAGCCACGAAATATGTATACTACATGAAACTGATAGTGGACATTTATATACGATCAAAACACTGATGATCACTGAGGACAGATCAAATGCCAAAAACGTGTTGTCATAGGGTGAAAACATTCTGAGAGAGGATTATCTGATATACATGTAATTTCCGTTGCGTTATCACTATGTATAGATGGATTATGGTCAGAATGAAGAATAAAAATATGAATATGCAGCAAGTGTATTTTTGTGATCTACCGATGAACATTAATGAAACTATAACGTTGTTGTAAATTAAAGCATTCTATTCAACCAAGATAAATTATCATTATCATGTCAAAGTGTTGAATTACTTGCCAGTCTATCGTCCAGTCAATCACCATTTCAAAGCAAAAAGTAGTTTTACGTATTTTGATGTTTATTGACAGTACAGTAACTGAATTTTTTATTTCACCCAATAATTTACAAGTCCCAACCACCATCCATCTGCTTCGAACTACACATTCGAGTACTATAACTTGGCCAAAAATGAATCATGCATCTTAAAATCAGATAAACTAGTCTGTAGATCGTTAATGAATTAATAATTGTGAAAAGTATTTATCTTGACTTATATTGCTAGATATCTACAATTCCCTCTGGTTGATCGTTTGACATTTTTATCTAGATAAGTGATTGGACATAGTTATCAGAAGACATTTAACTCAGGACTAGTCCTATTCAGCAGTCATCAACAAAGGAAGTGGTCACAAATCAGTGATCAGTCAATTATAGGTTCACCATATTGTTCATCACATTTTCTATCCATTTTTTCAGTTTTGCTCAGAAATCAAATCACATTTTCATCTAGTTTTTTCCAAACATGGGATAATCTTTACAACTATGTGTATATGTTGAGGTGATGGACATTGTGCAATTGGTTAAGGAATCCGCTTTACCGAAATTTTTTAAACTTTCGTTTTCATTTCAGCAAAATGACCACTCAATTTAATGTTTGTTTTAATTTCAATATAAGTCTGGATCATATCAGTGGGATGTTTATTCAAAATACCAAATTTTCCGAAGTAAATTAACGTGAACGATGTTCAGCATAACATCCATGATCTGACTTTGTTGAAGTTCTTAATATTTTTCATATGTTTCTTAGTAAAAGACTTGCAGTCATTTATATCATAGACTATGATTATATCAAAGATCAGCTTCCCTCCGCTTTATTACATCCTACATGTACACTAGCCAATTTATAGTGCAAAGGTGAATGATAGTGACAAAATGTCAATAAACTACGTCTAACAATCCAATATTCTCATTTGATATCCTACTCACAAGAACAACAAGAACATCAATAAATGATGAACTGACGAGTAATATCAAACCACTTATAAGAAATACTAGCTGAATTATTCATTAGGTTGATTACAGTTGATTATATGTAATCTAAACTTTAAACTAAAGTTGTCTGCATACCGATCATAAGTCAAAATTATTAGACAGTCTTTTTATCTTGGTAAGGAATATCCCGTAAACTTCAAGCCACAAGTTAGTCAGTAGTCAAATTGGAACCTTCGAGATTTGGTCTGAGTGTATATTATTTAAACCGATGATTCGACACCTAGCTCAAACCACACAATCCTCAATGCTGAACACGAGACGACCAGGAAGATAGGTATTCAACATTTATCGCGGAGAAAAACTCAACGATGGAGAACTCGGGAAGAATAAATTCGATTAATTCGAATTGATCGGATAGCATGGGTCGGCATCGCAGGCGTGGTCATACTTAAGTAACAGTTTTTTATCCATATCGAATACATTGTCCTACCTGCAGCCTAAACGTATTCTTCATCATATATTGATGACTGTTACAATACGATGATTCTGGGTAGACAATTATGTGGCTCTCACGTAAGATCTTATAAATTGGGCAGTTACATCATGGTAAGTCTACAATTTTAGGATTAATTCTATTGTTAGGGCAGTACTGATATCGAGGTATACCATAATTCTGCAAATGCAGACTTCATGAACATTTCTGAATGATATTCCGTAATTATACAAAACAAGTAAGATCGCAAAGTTATTCAGCCTTTTATTCATTAAATAAATTTATCTGATCTGTTCGATTATATTCTACAAACGTCTAATAATCAGACCCCACGACTTCTTCTAAGACAACGTGGTCTAATGGTCCCAGAGGATACCAATCTCTTTGAGCAAATCAACACGCTTCTGTGTTTCGTTCCGATCATTGACATGAGGATATGGTACACAACGAGGTACATTCACATTCAAGAACTTACACAAGGGCTCCCAACCATCTCCAAGTTTATGTATTAGAAGGCGACTTGATGGTATACTCTCAACTACCAATTCGTTATATTCATCGAAACATTCTAATAGCACTGCATCATCATCAAAGTCAATTTCACCTTTACGAAATGCGAATGTCAGTGAATCAAATGCCATTTTAACGAATCGCGCATCAAGTCCCAGTATATGCTTGACTTTTTCCACCACTAGTGTGTGTGAATGACTGGTTTTCGGCAATATTGTTTGTCGTAGACTTGACAGCCAGTCGTTTTTATCACGAATTGTCAATACAAACTGCAGCATTAAATAAAATTCAAGTGAAATGATCATTTAGCAGTGTGATATACAGTAATAAGAGAACAACCGGTTTTTAAACTCTTGCGAGCTGCCCAGTTTGTATGTCCCGGTTCGTGTGGTTCACGTGTGTGGGTATATGCAAAGCGTACACGCTTGGGTAAGCATAAGAAACTGACGAAATATTTGCCTTATGTCTAATGAAATCGACGACCCAGTTTATCAGGTTGAAAGCGTAGCAAAAATTATGGTTGGAAACACTGAGAAGAGGTAACTGTCAGCCTTCCCAGAAAGAGTGCTAATGCTGATATATATATCATAAACGTCAGGGGACAATGGATATGTAACAGCGATACCCGTGTGATGAGTAAGTGACAGCCAGCTACACTAAATACGTTCGAAGCGAGCAGTCACCATCCACCCTATCAAGTGGGTGAATATACCTATTTGTATCCGCTGAAACAAAAAAGTGTGTGTTATTGAGAAAACGAGGAGATGGCTTCGATTAATGTACTCATTGGCAGTTGGGCAAGTGGGTATATTTCCAAGATTTTGATGCTTTCATCAGTTATCTTTCGTTTAGTCTAGTCAGAAATCATCAAATATCATTCCAGTTCACTAGAACAACTATGAGGTTCACCACTGGTTGAAGTGAGCGTGAATGATGTTGTCTTGATAAACATTTACGACTAACCCACTTAAATATTATGCTCATAGGACTCAAGAATATCACCAGTATTCACTTGGACTGGGAATCTTTACCGCCATTACAACAAACAACATCGAAACCTGGTGACACCTGGATTGGCAACAAACTGTTCAATCACGATGGTTTCGAGTTTCAAACGTAGGAATACTGATTACTTCATAATTTTGAAGTCTACTATGATCAATAAATCAATAATGTAGTTCAACGCTTAGGCGGGAAACTCATAAATGCTTCCTAATTTACAAATATGTTGTAAACAAATCAATGAGAACAGTTGACCGAAGGAAAGAAAGGAAGAAAAAGATTCACTTCAAAGATATGAGAGTATTTGTAAAATATTTTGGTAAGTAAACTATTGTATCCATCCAAATGTGATCGACCAGTTGATTTAATACAACACATACAGACTTTGAAATAGTCTCATTATTTACATTATGTTACAATAAACAATTCACACATATCATGAAATTTCAAAAATAACACTGAATATACCTTCGAGTAAGGGTATACAGTCATTAGTTCCCTATAAAATCCACATGCTGGAATATCTGTCACTGACGCATAACCATTCAGTATTTCATTCAAACCTCTGTGTATCACCATTTCATTTGAGTTTATCTTTCGAGCTTCATTGAACAATTTTTGCCATCTATCAACATCATACTGATTTTTCGTCATCGTTTCAATTATATGATAACATGGTTGAGAGAGAAGTATTTCCAATGCAGTTTTCAAACTACTCGTTCCTGTTCTTGGAAGACCAACTCCAATAACATTGATTGTTGTTGATGATTCTGACATCAATTTCATTGATAAAAAGGATTTGTGGATTGAATAAATTTACTGTTCATATATTTATATGATTTCTAATGAAATGAATCGATCTGAAAACTCATTGATTACAGTAATAGTTAACGTAGGTTAGTATTAGATTACTAAACAACAACATCATTAGAAGATGAATGAAATTTATTTGTCTTATTGAACATTCATAATGTATACTGAATTATTCATTCTACATACATGCTACATTTGTGATAATATGTAATCGATTAGATATCAGATTTAGTGTATTTCGGTAAGGTATAGATCAGCTGCTTTTCCACTGAACTTTCGACATGAAATATTATCATCATTGAGATTATAAATATCAGTTATCAGTATGGCTTATAAATCAATATCGATGGTAAAAATGACTGAAATACAGACATTAATTCGAGTTATTTGAGCTGATCTTCCAAGAACTGGTACAAAGGGAATGTAGGAGGCATTGGAAATGCTTTACAGTCAACCGTCGTTTCACACGGCAGAAATCGATTTGAATAAAATTTGTGATGTTGATAAATATCAGAAACTATAAGATAAAACTCAAAAGACAACACTTGATGAAACGATGACACATAGATGTCTGAATGAGATACTGGATTGTTACATAGCTGTAACAGACTCTCCATCATGTGGTTTCTATAGAGAACTGGAGACTGTTTATCGCCATGCTAATGTGAGCAATATAATTGTTGTGAATTTTGTGGCAAACGAACAGTGATGAATGGTCATATTTGATTGCGATAAACACAATGTTCACCCAAAAATTTCCATCGATAGGACTCATTGTCTGAATTTTCGCGAAATGAACACATACTTCATTAAATTTTCTAAAGGATACGATAGGTTATTACATCAACATTTGATGTCGTATGCGATTAGTTCAGGTCGAGTTGCCCTATAACTCACGAGAAACTGGAGCGTTACTTTTTTGTTGACCCTCTCCTCTCCCTCCATTTTCAAGATGGTTCACTTGGGAGTAGAGCAAAAATCGGGATGGCTTTATTAGTACTATAATGTGATTAACGGACGACTGTGTTCCACCATAAGAAATTCAAGCAAGAAGTGCTTTTCATAGAATTTGAATACCGGAATATCTGATTCATGTTATTTTTAGATGATTTTGGTTCTTTTGAATGAGTGGATCAGATTGTCACCCAGATTATCCACTTCATTCACATACTTGTTCAAGCTTGTCAGGTGGATGACAATGGGTAGTTCACTGTTTAGTTGATACATGATGAATTATTTTGCATAAGATTATCCAAGTCTGATTATAAATTGTGAAAATACATGACCACTTAATTAATTTGGCGTCTTTTAGCCAACTACAAACAACTTGAAACTGTGCATTTCCAATTATTTGCCGAGTACTACTGATCACATGGAGTGTTTCAATCTGTCGATCAAATGTCGGAGATAAAGGGGTTTGGAAAAACAATGAAATATCACATATGTTCCATCAGTATAATCGATTCCATTCCATTTAAGTTGAATGATCACGAGGCAACAAAGTTGACACAACGCATTCCAATAAACACTCATACATATATCAATTCAACGTGATTTTGAGTAAAGTATCATAGAAAACTTAAGCCTCACTTTTACATTTCATAAACCAACTTCAAATCAAAATTATCTGTAGCATGAATCAGTTTTAATGATTGAAGGATTACTTGTAACGTTTTTCAATAGCGTTCAGGAATCTCATATTGACGAAATACCATCAAAGTAAATCATTTGTGAATTTGAAATAATCTAACGAAATACTTCTAATTCCAACAAGACACAAGCAAATAGTCGAGTCTGAATTATGCCGTAAGAGATTTTATTGAAGAATGAGTGCAATAGTTTCTCATCATTTCATTGTAATCATCTTTGTAATTTATGAATAGAGTGAATTTAGTCAGATTTAATTCATCATCTACGATACATTTCGTGAAAATGAAGCGACGGATAGTATAATTTTTAATAAATTATGAATTATTTATATGAGCTTATCAGAATGATACTTGACAAACTGTATTTCAAATGTATTCTGAAGTGTTACATTGAATATTTTCATGATTTTTAACCAGTTTCTCATTTACTCATCACACGATCGATATTTATGGACTATTGTTTGAATGACGACGACTATGTAGCGTGGTGTCGTGTTGAGGTTAACTATGAACACCGTTACCAAGAAACACGTGCCAAGTAGATCAGAAGGCGTAAGAAGCTCGTTCCAAATGACTCCATAAAATCCCCGAGAAGCCGAATACCAGAAGGCAATTAATGGACCAAGTCGATGTTTATTTGCTGGCGATCTCGTGGCATCGAAAGGATACCGAGATCGTGCCAGGATACAAGCTTGGTTACAGAACGTAACCGAATTTGCGCGAAGTCACAACCAAAGTGTAAGTATATGAATGGAAGCACAAAATAGCTGTCATTAGCACAGTCAAACAAAAGCACATTAAAACAAGCACTGGTACAGTTGGTTATAATAATAATTGTTTTTATTAAACCAGTCGTGTTCTCGTGATAAATGTGAGTCACCACAACTATAGTATCTTAAAACTCTCACGTTCTTTAAATGATATTTTGTATACTCAGCGATTAGGGTGAATTTTCGGCTTGAATGAATTTGCCTTGATCGATCAATGAGCTTCACATTATTTACTTAGTTCATTGTGATTGGTAGAGCCTTCCTTTTGTGAACTGTTTAAATAAACACGTAGTCGCTCGTTTCCCTACTATGGACTAATATATGGTTTTCTAATTTGTACACTACTGTGAACACAAATGAATACTAACTACTTGAAAATCATTGTTCTGTTTGTTTGTTTGTTATCTTATTTAGTTGAATTGACTATACGTGATAAAAATCAGATGATCCATTAAAGTAAGTAGTGAACGGACAGGATTAGATCCGTAATGGGATAATCTTATTATCAGTTCATTGGTGATTGCATTTCTGGAGGATGGTATTGATTTCCATCATAATAACAATAATAATAATCCAATGCTTTTGCACGTTTCGAAGAATATGTGAGAACTGCACTGGAAATTGTACCATCTCAATGCCTTCTGATATATCATCTTGAAGATAATTGTGAACAGTTGTGTAGATTTTTGAATGTGCATATACCACGTGACATAGTCTACCACTATATGAATAAACACATTCAGATGAAATAAGTGATGGAAATCATCATTAAAAAAAGGATCGATTGATCAAAACAGTTGAACAAATGTTTCCAGAACTTATACACAGCGATTGTATTAGAGATGGAAGAAATGACTTTAAACTATATGGTAAAATGCTGTTAAGCTTCCTTCATTCATCATATTCAAACTCGACCCATTTGATGTGATATCATATATTGAACCCTAGAGTTCAAAATATTCATTGTTGTACCGGTTACATTGTAGTTACATGGAAACATCTACATCATATTGATTACTTGATTCCTACTAATTTAAATATGTTGATTCACTACAAATGGTCTTCACAGATAACACGACTTAGATATTGATTATCTCAAATAAATACTGTTTATTAATAATGTATCGAATGAAGAGAGTTGGTTGGTGAGGTTCACATTGTGAATAACGCTGGTAGTTGATCAACCCACTATTCTACATGTAATTAGACAAAATGATGTTGGATAGATGATTAGTACTGCATAACTTAAACAGATAGACCTGATGATCAACTTCGAGTGAATACACGATCCTTCATCAATCACATTTCGTACTTGAATATGTTACAGGATGTTCATAAGTTGACGTTAACAAGCATATAAATATTATAAAGAAACGAAGATGTAATGAGTGTATGTTGTTCATCTATTGTCAGATAGAGAGATAATCAATAACTGATATATGAATGATTTATGGGACTATTGATTTACAGTAACAATCAATTCAGTTATAAAGATCAGTGTTTAGTAATCTTTAGATTTGACTTAGTGTATATGTAAGTCCGGATTTGCCTTGAATATTTCATTCAGAAAATATTTTTTACTACTTATTTCATCAGTTTATTGTTCTATGACCTGAGCAAATAATCATCTGAATAATGTTCATTCTTATTGAATACATATTGCCCGCCAGCAACCACGATGTTCATCAATGTACTTTGTAGAGAGAAGGGTCAAAAACTTGTCATAAACAAGCCTGGTTAGATAATGTTATTAAAAGATATGATGATGTATTCATATAAACAAAAATAGATAACTTGACGAAATGCCTTGATGTTATGAACAGGTAGCCCATATATTCAAACAGGCCGCCAAACCTTACAGTTCTTACTATGCAAACCGTTATCAAGGAATCTTGACTTATGATATGACATTATTTGATCCATTTGTTCTATTCAATAGAAGCAAACTGTATCAAACAAGTGATCATCAATATTTTGTTTATTATGAATACGATTTTATACAAGATTCATCATAAATAAAAAGATTTAATATGGATACAGTTTTTCTCTGCATCATCTGAGAATCATTCGCATCATGGTTTCAATCCATTATGACGGCACTCCACTTCACATATGAATCACTGTCACTGACTACTGCATTCAAAGTGAATGATCTGACAATGATGTTGATCTGGTTGAAAGAAGACGACGACACGTGTCAAATTAAACAGTGGGAATCACAGTCACTGTCTACTCACTACAATAATTTTCAACACAACGATTTCTCGAACATCTTACACAATACAATTCAATTCAGAAGTTTCGCAATAGACACCTCAATCGTTGGTAAAACTGCGCATTAACCAATACCTAGTATAAAAGTAACATCTATGCTTAACCATCGATGATAACTATCCGCATAATTCACAAACAAAGAACAATTTACACACCAAAGTATTTCTGTATTTTTTAAATAATACTAGTAATGTAACATAAAATATGATCCTCTGTAATCAACAATTCTCATATTCTAGATGATGAATCTTCTTAAATGACCACTGATCAG